CTTTCAAAGACTTGATGCTTGATGCAGTGATCGTCACTATCGTTCTTTGGTGATCTAGTATCATGCATTTTTCGCCTCACATATCTCAGCTCCAGCTAGCTCTTGTTCTGATGATGCCTTTCGAAAGCCGGATATGGGAACTAATTTGACGAGCAGGGGAAAAATGCTGTAATGTCCTTCTGAGGAATCTGGCGACGCAAGCAGCTAGCAGCTCCGCTCCGCTTGTGGAGAGTACTGTAACGAGACAAGTGGAACAGCGTTCTTCTTTCTTTCTGTGATAAGATCAAGGCGATTGTGACAGGGCGGACATGACTTCCTCGTTCCTGTCCTATTGCCAGCCAAGCTATTCCTACAATCTCTGTGGAAAGACAAATTTGGATTTCAAGTAACATTTCAACCCTTTGTCTTCGACTCCTTATGCTCTATGTAACCAATATGGCAGATGGTACTGTACACTGACTCCGAAAATGTTCTGGAGTGGCTCCGCCGGATCGCCAAGCAGTGGGATTACTTGTAACAAACGTCTGAAGGAAGTGAGAGGTATTGTAACGATATCAAAACGCGCGGAACGGATTATCTCTACAGATACGTCCCCACGACATTGAACCCAACCGTCTGCGCTACCAGAGTACCAGCTCGAGCGCATGCAAGGACCACTTGAGTGGTGGGCCCACGATTTCTGCAAAAAGGATCGATGCAAAAGCAGGAGTGCGGAGAACTGTTTCCACTTAACGCCGCCGTAGAAGAGGATGAGGAAGACATTTCCACCCCTGTCACAATTGCCTTGATGTTGTCCCAGAAGAAAGAGAAGCAAAGGAAAGAACGCTTGTCTCGATACAGTACTCTCCATGAAGCGGAAGTAGCTGCTTACGTCGCCAGATTGCTCCGAAGGGCATTACAGCATTTTCCGACTGCTCGACGTCAAACTATTTTCAATTGCTTCGACATTACGAGAACCCTTTAGCGAAGGGGAACGACATTACAAAACGACCTACATGAACTCACCGCACTGTTTCTCACAGTAAAGTTCCCACTCCGAAGCCTATCTTCGATAATAGGTCGACTATGAAAATGTTTACCGAGTCATTTCATAAACTTGCTAAGAATTGCTGACAAACTTCATGCTCTCAAGTGTAGGTGAGCAATTATGTGAAAACTATTTCAGAAACTGCCATTTCCAAAAGAAATACGGGGCAGACCAATGGTTGAACATTTGCAAAGGAAGACTTACAATTGAGAATTGTAGTTTTAGAAATATAGATTCAATCTAATCTAAACGTTAAGGGACAGAAACACATAACAAACGTAATACGTTGATGACCGTGTAACACGACGTAGCGCCACTATATTACACGAAGAGGGCTCGTTTAAAGCCACGAGTCAGGATTAGGCAACCAGCAGAAGTTCATCCCAGGGTGCGATAGTGGGCTCCCCAAGCACTGAGGGCGCGACACCAGGGTGAAAATCATGTCGAGTACGTGGTCGCAGAAGTACGACCCCCCCCCGATATCGAGATCCTGGCACGACCCCCCCCCCAAAACAGAGCAAATTAATTCAATTAATTAATCAAAAAAATCCTGCAAAATAAGTCAAAAAAAACCTGCAAAATAATGTTATGGACGCCTCTTCTTGTCATCTGTGCACTGTCTTTCATCACTGCACACTTTTGTGTATTTACTCGAAATACGACGCGAGGAAAGAGGCATTAATTTTGTGTGACCTCAAAGTCAGGCTCGTTCAGAAATGCACAGAATTCTGAAGGCACGGGGCTGCGATTTAATCTTATTTCCTGCTTGAGTATATCGAAGAGGCGAGTGTATCAATCAACGACCGATTCAACGGCAGCTGCGGCGCGATTGTCAGTCAGATTTGCTGAAATCCCGAAAAAAAAACCGTCGAATTCTACACCCTCGATGAAAGGTTGCATTCCTCCATTTCATAACCTTTGAAGCAGTTTGAGGTGAGGTTAGATAGAGACTGATTTAGCGTTTCAAAGAAGTATTGAAATTGCTCTGAAGGCCTTATATGCAGAAAGATAGGGTCTCTCAAATTCGTCGAGTAAATGTCGAGGACGCCGAAATTTTCACGCGAGTTTTTGCCAACTTCAAGAGCAATATCCCTCTAAAAACGTGAGATCCTGAAAAAGTGAAGATAGTTTGGAAAGGCGGAAGGTTTGCGCTTTCTGATGGTCTTCTTAGCTTTCTTCTACATTTCCTAGTTGAGAAGATATCTGCGTCGAGTATCTAACGAGGACGGATCCAACCACCTGAAAATCCGCTCCTTTCTTCACCATTGCAAGTGTAATTTTTGGCAACGCTTGAAACGGGTCTAGAAAACATCCTCCCAGCATAAGCCATGGGAAAAGGGGCAATCGTCATCATCGAATTTGTCTGAGTATAGGCCATGCATCCGACCTCACTCGAAGTAGCAGAGTCGACTGGAAGGTGTCATATGATCATTACTAGTTGACAGAGGCTGCATTGTAGTAAACACATTTCGTAACTACTACAAACTGAAGACAACTTTATTTGCCCAGGGCTTTTCCTTCACAGTTGTCGTTTTTGCGACAGGGTCCCTAACAACAGTGTCATTCTCAGCGAGGTATTAAGGGAGAAGGAGCGAGCGACAGGCAGAGGAAGTGCATTTGCAGTGCGTGCGCATATGTGGCAGTCTTCTTTGCGGGGATGCACTTTCATTCTTTGTACTGCCTTCGAATACGCCCTACTCATGAAGGTGGAGGAATGGAGCGACTGAACCTGCAAAGAAAATTTAATATCATGTTTTTTTTTCAGATTTCATTTTCTGCTGCGCTATACCCTCTTACCTATCTGCACCACGATACCACTGCTGTTACTGACCACCAAGAGTACGACCCCTCCATGACCCAGCCCGACAGGTACGTCCCCCTGTCAAGGATTTCCTCGACCGATATTCACCCTGCGCGACACTATCGCGACCCAAAAGTGCGCGACAAATGACGCTAAGGCCTTTCCCACCGCGCTGCCCGCGCTGCCAGCGTAATCCAACACGGCATACGTGGTTTCTGCGTCCTCTCGCGTACGACGTACTATCCCGCGTTCTTCCTCTCCTCGCAGCGCTGTGTCTCTCCGTCGTACTACGGCCGACCTCCTAAGGGAAATTTAGTGTTTTCTATAGTGCTTCTTGCTTTTTCTCTTCACTAATGTTCCTAATGGCACCCCTTGCCCAATGTTTGAACAAAATAACGCATCAACTCAATCCCGACTCGTGCCTTTAACATAATTTAATTGGCGTTTTTCTGTGTTCCAAGGTGGTTCGTATACATTGGTGGGTCTGGAAATAGAAATGCGTTCACTTGCGATAGCGACATCGTTGAAGGGTTAAAGAATATTGAAATTATGAAAAAAGATGCCGCAGTTGATTCATAACGGCGGTCGTCGGCAGGACAGGTGGTATGTGCTCATACGCATACGCACACGCAAATATTAGGTTGTTGTATTACAAATGTCGCACCAGATTTAACTTTACCCCACTCAGCTGTGTCCGAACATCCAGAGGTACTCAAGCATTCATTCGAAAGCGGAAATCTAGGAGTATAAATGCGACTACTCGTTGCTCATGTCATGTTGTTTTTTTACAGGAATTTTTCTTTCAAACGGACTGACCGAAATTTCCGCGTGTACACATGAATGTTCTACGACATCTGAAGCAGGATGAATTAGCTAACCCGGACTCGGCAGCAAGGTCAACCGTCTGTTGGACAAAGTCCAACGCGACGACGAGAGTAATGCCGAGAGTGAACGTACGCACGGAGACAAGACGGCTCGCGGGTGGCGAGAGTGAATGCCGGCGCGGAGAGCGGTCAACATCGGTCCAACGTGGCCCCAATATCGGTCCAACGTAACGGTTGACCCTGCTCGGCAAATCTTTGTAAACAAAAATCGACCTACATCAAACCGTGCATTGGCTCGGTGAGAAGAGAAGTCCGAGTCAACGCGGCACGTTTTGAAGGAGAAACAGTGCAGAATGTACAAAAATTCGGGATTTGGGTGTCCATGTTTACCAGCACACAGTTGCCAAGATTCTTCGAGAAGGACGTCGAGCCTCTGCGTTAGGAATGGCGAAGCCTGGCACAATAAGGTAGTATCCATCTCTTAATCTGAGATGCCGAATTGTAGCTGTTCCAATAAATTTTGTGGTGCGTCCAAAAGCGACATTTATAATGCAACAACCTAGAACACACGGACCGATATGCACATATGCATACATGAACACACTAATAATCGTTGTCATTTTCGAGGCTAATGGACTTGGGTAAATAGTCTGATAAGAGGAGTAGACTTGCAATTGAATAGCCCTGTTAGATATACCGATGATCCTTTTCGTAGATTTCTTTGTTTGTTCAGTATTAGGTCTTCCAACAAGGTTTGAAATTGGGTCAAAATACGAAGTTTAGCTGGAACTAATCAAAAGCTGCATAACGACATCAATCAAAGGATCTTCATCTGAATTTTCGTCACTCCATCACTCCTTTTCGCCCGGTAATAAATCTTCCTCGCCGATAAAATTCCACATTTTCAGAACGAAAGAAAGCTGTTAATTCTTCATGTGTGCTCTATGTCACAGAATGCGTTGGAATTTGGCAAACCATCGAAACGCCGTCGCTCTTTACACAACTTGTTGACCTTTTGCGCTATTGATGTTTCAGACAGCCGCTTCAGCGTCCTGATCCAATTCAAACCCATAGCAGCAAGTTGCAAATAACCTTTTTTGATAGAGCCCCATCGTAACGAACGAATACAATTTATGCACCAAAGATGCGCATAAATTCTGCGTAGCCTTGTGCGAAAATCGGGAATTAGTGTGCGAATATCCAACATTTTTTGATCTAGTCTCACAACTTATTTGAAGACCCAATAGTTCTGAAACTGGTGAAGGTCTTACAGCCTATTCTTGTTTTCAGGTGCGACGTCCATCGCTAAGAAACATAGACTGCGATTCTTCAATCGCAGGTCCTTCTCATGTGTGTCTTGAAGATGCAAGAATCGATGCACAGCACATTCCACGAAAGTCTATACAGGTATTTTTTGTCATCATCATCAAATGTCTTATGTAACCTCCCAGAGCTTTCTCACTGCGCACAGTTGCTACAATTCCTCGAGAAGAAGAACGGTGAGTTTCGGCGTGAGAGATGGCAAAGTCTAACACTACATGACAGAATCTCTTCCCATATCGTCATTGTTGTCCACCAGATCTTGCACATCCGAAAATGACATTCACAATGCAACAGCGTAATATTTTGGAAACGGACTATCTGCGTGCCTTCTGTAAGTGCGGCTGCTGCGACGCTATGCCCATTGACCAGGGCAACCGTGATTGTTCATTTCTCAACGGGGCTTGTATTTTTGGAAAGGGAAACGGTCTTGGCGGTGGAAAGGTGGGTTGAATTTGACGGGTTTGTGACGATTTTGGGGAAAACATCACGAAATAAGTACGATTCATGAATACTAAGAGGAATTTTCGTTTTTTTTTCGGCTATTGTTACCTCTCCTCTCCCCTAGCTTTATGGCCTTCTTGAGCGAAAAAGCAGGAAGAGGGATTGGGCTGTGCCGAGTGATCTCTGAGTTGTAAGCTAGTCAAATACTAGAGAAACAGCCACGATGGTGAGGGTAGTGGTCGGGGATGGGGAGGGAGGGGGTTGTATCGGGACACCTTAAAAGGAGGGAGGGGGTCGTGAACCGTCTGAAATTAGCGCAACGCAAGGTTGACCCTGCCGTTGACACGCCTACTTAGGCAGGAGCACAGTACTGTACGCAGCGGTATGCACCACATTGCAGACTGCTGGATAAATCTGCTGGGATACGTGGGGCAAAGGTATGGACTACAACTGGAAGTGCGCTGTCCTATGAGTCTCTGCTGGCGATGGTACTCGTCTGTAGTGATTCTTGTGTTTTCCTAAAGAAGTTTCGCAGGAGTGACGCCATGGAGATTCTATGAAACACTACTATTTCTAAGGGTGGAACTTCTGCCTAGGGTTGATATTGCGTCGGTGTGCTAAACTTACGAGTGCTATGTCCTCCTACGGTGACATAACAGCACCAACTTCCAATTCAAGTGGACATGATTATTAACCCTTTGACGACAATGCTGATTTGCACGTAGCGTGCTCGTGGGATCACGCCTCTTCTTGGCGCGTCCAACTCTAACTCAAAATGAGGCAAAATTGTCCCTAAAAGCAGTCTATCAAAAGTATAATAATACATAAAATATGACTGCAGTATTAAGCTTTATGTATTGTTGGAATTAGAAGTGGAAGTTGGAAAGAAATCTTGGATTTCAACGGGATGGTGTTTGAAAACTCTAAAAATTCAAATGTACAGTAGAATTTTTGATATACTTCAAAATCCTCCTTGTGAAGACTGTGAAAAGTCGTGAGAGGTCCTGATCTGTAATTCACCTTAAGCTTAATAATGTAAAACACTAGTTTGCGTGCCGTATCCTAAAACTTCATATAAATTGGCTAGTAACAAACATTTCTGCAAAATATGCTAAACATAGGCGTAACGGAGCTTGCTTCTAATTACTGATAGGTTGAGAATGGTTTAAATGGGAAAAGAAGATAATTTTAGGGTGGCACCCACCTGGGTGCCATTGCCCCACGCGACGGTCATAGTGGCACCCACCAGTGGGTGTCATTGTCGCCAAAGGGTTAAGCGGGAAAGCATCCTTTGGGTAGGGAATCCTCGATTAGGGTTGCTGTCGTAAGGGCTGGCGCTAGGGACAGGAAGCGCGGCTATGTTCTGGCCAGCAAAGGTGCTGAGGGAGTGGATGCATTTTGTAACAAAAATTGTTACCTGTAGTCACCCTTCCTATCATTTGCGCAACATAGTATCATATGAGGTGGCTTCAAGGAGCATGTCAACTTCTGCTCTAATGGAACTATGTGACAGCAGTGCGCGTAATCTTCGTTATGGTATGCCTATTGGCAAGCTGGCATCCTATCACATCAAGAAAAACATTTATAATAGACTGTATTTACGATAAGTAAGCTCGCCCTGTGTACGAGTCTGCATGGTGTAATAATGTTCTTTCTTGAGCGGACATTACTCATGGAACACAAAGACATCACAGTGTGTACTTCGAGTGCAGGAAGTGCAAGAAGCACACAGGAATGGCGAAGTATCAGCATCAAGAAACTTTGTCTTTGCAGCATGGAGATGAGGAGTCAAACTCTAGCCAGGAACCTTCATATCGTTATATCACAGTTCGGGAAAATGCCCATGTCATTCGAGAGAGGCTACGCCAGCAAGGCCAGTTAACAGCGCCAGCAAGAGATCACTACTATTCTGTCATTGGAAATGAGTATGAAACTGTACGTGTCATTTTTTTGTTCTGTTAGTTATTTCATCAGCACATGCCAACTTTGTCAGGTTGGAGACGCCCAGAATTCAACGTATAACACACTTTCAGAACCACAAACTTCCGGTAAGTGTAGTTCATAAATGTTTTTGTTATGGTTTTCAACACCTATTCTAGGTACTATTTGTTTGGATTTAAACATCAGTCGTTCGCGAGAGTTCGTACCTCCGCCACCGACTTCACCAATTCCGGACCGAAGTCTCAACAGTGATAACAAGGGCGAGTGCTCCGGAGAGTCCACGTTTTCGAGTTTATGTCGCTGTAGTACCATAAATGGTGTTATATATGCAATAGTAACGAAACCAAAAGTAATTGCTTCCATGAGCGCTGGTTCCCAATTCGAAGGAACTCATGAAAGCATTTCTCATTCACGAAGTAGTATATAAACAGTCGTGACAGCTTCATGCATGGCAAGAACTAGTTGCCCTTAACATGTCATTGGGCGGTCGGCCCCGTGGGACCGCACCTTTTTCATTCCCATAGGCTCAATGTGGTATGCACTTACATCAGCGATTGTGCCAGAAGTGTTAAGACTTACTGCAGAAACCTGTTGTTGGGACCTCATTCGTCTCAATTCTTTGCTCACTGCTTCCAAGCCAATCGTAAATCTTCTTACTTGGCCAACGACGAGTTCTGGGATAGGCTCGAAAAACACGTCTTCCACTACAGAATCTGTGAATGGGTTTCCTATAGATCTCTTCTTGTCAAAAGTTGTATCAGTAAGCTAGTTAATGCTAGCAAAAAACAGCTTTAAATCTGAAAAGAGCAAGCTTTACCCTAAGGGAGACACTTTTGAGCAGCCTTTGTTGTGTTATGTTTTCTGTTATTTTTAAATTGTAATACAACTGTAAACAGTAAAATACGCAGTGCAAATAAATGTTGTTATTGGCTATACAAATAAATAAGTTATCGGAAAATGCTGCGCTTTCAAATTTCTAAGGGTTCCGCACAGTATCGGACGGTATTGCTCCCATGGGAGTGTTCAGGACCCGGATATGCACTTAAACACTCATTTCTTCAGCCATAATTTTTCAGTACTTCGTAGCAGCACAACTTGGTTGGTCTCACGAATATCAGCACGACATTAGTTGGCTGCCACGAACACGTCCTGTAAGCGCATTGCAGAGCCAGCACGTGCATGAGATAGTGAGAACTAGATGTAGGTTTCGATGAAAAGTTGAAGGCAGTGGGAACTGTGGACGCACTGGATGCTACGGGTGGGATTCTTGGATGCATGGATGCACGCATTCGGATAAGGCGTACTCACGTGTTCCATCCCCGATTGCGATGGGCTGGCCGACGAGCGTTGATGTAGTGCCTCTTTTGCGACATGAAAGTGCTCGAGAAAAGCGCCAGACATTCGCTCTACCCGCAGCGCACACCTCAATGCGCAAGTCCCGCCCTCCGCCGCCGCTGCCACGCTAGCGCAGAGAAGAGAGCACGGCAGCAGCTGCGGCAGTGTTGCGCTGCGGTTAATGTCGCGCATCCCTTTCATGGCGTGAAAGAGCGTTGGACCTATTTTTTAGGATCTCACTGGACGGGATTTTTTACTCTCTGCTCCCTTCCCTCATTCGATCTTATCCCATACTGTAGCGAGCAAAAGTTTGGAAACGTTTTTTTTTTATATTTGACCTAGCACAGTCAGTATTCAACCAAATTGCCTCCAAATTCTCAAGTATACATAAAATTAGGTCCTTGAAAAAGATGGTTCTTTTAAAGGAAATCACGCGGCAAAATTTGGGAAACTTTTTGTTTCCCCCACCATTATAGTTCCTACCATTCAATGTTTGCATATTTCTATTAATTTTGAGTTAATTGTTAAGTATTATGTACTTTTAAAATGAATCCGTGCAGAAAGGAAACATCATATACATATCTACATAGGGAAGGTTTTTTGAAATTTCCAATCTAGGATACGAAACTGAAATGTTTCCCTATAGTTTAAACTCTAATGTAACTATGTATAATCCATATTCTAGCGTTGTTCGAGTCAAGCAACATAAGGAGAAAGACATTCCATAGAAAACATCCTCTCATTAGAATTTGCCCTGTTGTTATGTCCCTTCCAGCCGACATCCTCAACCAAGAAGCTACTTTCTCGGGATTTTGGCTCTGGTTAAACGGACGTCCAAGTGCAGGTCAACATCGGCGGGACCTAGCGAATATTACGGAAGATGTCCCAACAATAAGCCATTGTTGAGCTTCAAGGGCAGGATGGCCTAGCTGGCTTCCGCACACTACTGGTTAACTTGGACCGAAGGCGAAAGGTAAAAATTGTGCTATGGGACAGCTGATACTTCCGCCTTTCTGAAAATAATGTTGTGAACTATGTAAAGTGTTCTGTCAAGTGGAAGCCTCATTTGTGGCATTAAACTCCAAGAGTCAGAAAGAGTGGAAGTTGGCCATAGGTGACGGTGTGTCCGGCCATTCGGCGCTTCCACAATTCTTAGTATTCAGAGAACTGTGGGCTGGAATACGAGGATAGTCTGACGAATACAATGCTTCTCTCGATAGCCAGAACTAAACCAAAAGTATGGGTTTCTATGACAATGTTGATCCTATGCGAGCCCACTCCTCGTGGCCGCCTTCCTTAACCCGAAAAAAATCGACTGTGAAGAGACCAAGTCAAGTCTGAAGCCCATACTGAGTTCTGCACTAGAAAGAAGAGTTGGTATGTCGTACAATCGACATGCCAGTAGAGAATCCATCTAAATAATATGAATCACGTCACAAAATTCAAGCTTCATTTAAAAATCCCTAAAATGATGTTCAGATCAATTCAATATCAATAAAAACGATGGCATAAAACTTCAGAGCTGCTCAGCAAATTGCTGATCCCTCATGTGGATTTACAGGCTATTGCTCCGAATTCACTTTAGAACTGAGGAGTTTCCACACTTTTGACGCGCCGCTTTTTATAAAAAATCGTACCTTCTAATTGCCATTCGATTTTCTGAATTTCTGAAAATTTTTTGAAAATGTTGCACATCGTATTCTACACTTGATTCTATATCATATGTGAATTTGGGAAAAGATCGTTATCTATTGGATGCGCTAGGTGAAAAGCAAAAAAGTTTCCAATTTTTTGACCGCTTCAGTATGTAAATTGCACTGCAAATTGCATTAGTGTGATGCAGTTTACGGATATACTGCGTACAATTATGGCTTCAGTGCTAGCTACAAGACCTTACGTTTTACTGGGTCCATTGATCCAATAATAAATTTTTTCAAACATATAAACATGAAACAATTACTATGAAAGAAAATGAAACTTAAAAAAGAAAACAAGGAAGGAGGGAATCGTGCAGGAACTATGCATTTACCGAAGTTCCACGTCCACGTCCGTTTCGATTCTGACTCATAGCCAACAATTGGCACTGGAGCAACTTTTGCTTCCGTTCGTAAAAACTCGTCCGAACTCAGCCCCTCTCCATTTCAGAGTGGAATGGAGCTGGAACGGAGCTCGGTGTGTACGCGGGCGTTTCGTTCAATTTCTTTTTCGTTTTCAGATCACCACCCACCTCAAGCTTCATGGCTCGACCTCCCTTTCCCCTCATTTTATCCCGAAGATTGCACTTCTTTTAATATTTGTTCTTTAGGTAGTGCTTGTGACGAGGGTAAGTTCTACTGCGACGGCTCCGACGGAAACCGATACCATTGACATGGTCAAGGGTGAAACTTCGCTTTCAAGGCGGAATTTGAAAAGAGGCGATGCCATGATCTAGCTGCAGTCACACCAGCCCGGTGCCTGAAATTGTGCTCTGTTCCATAGAAGATGGACTCACACGATCGCAAAATTGTCTTGGTTCATGGTCTTCTTCCCTTCTGTCGTGAGAATAGAGATTCCACTTTCGATTAATGGAAGACAACGCATCGATTCACGTCAGTCAAAGCATCCAAGCGTGGTTTTGGCGTCACCAGGTCGTGCTTTCCCCCTTTCCGGCTAATAGCTCCAACCTGGACCAAATATGATGGAGAATGTTTGGGGCTTCATGGTTTGATGGACTCACCAGTAATGCATAATTTCCAAACAAGGGAGCTCAAAAGGGCAATCGTAGAAGCATGGCACCAAGTTGATGCAGAAGCATACAGGGGTGGCCAAAAAGAGACACTTCACTCCACATTCAAAACGGGATTCTTTACGCGTTGCGAAACCAAAGCAAGTGATCTCAACAGAATCTTAAAGAGCACTTTAGAATCTATTAACAAGCTACACAACACCCTTCCATACCGACGACATCAGAAGGTTTTCTCACGAAAGCATTGTGCACGGTACGTGCTCAACGAGGTCGTCGAGATACCATAGACGATTACGAAGTCGCTGAAGCGCTGGTCAAAAGCAGCTTTGCATAGTCACAGCTAATGTCTCTGGGAAGCTATTCAACAGTTGATCCATTGAAGAAATTTGCGGCAGCTTCAGGTCGGAGCGGTTACGGTAGGCCTCGTTGAGCTCGGCGGTGACGGCAGACGACGTCGTATTCTGGAGACGGCGGGAGCAGTGAAGGAGATCCTGCTTCTATCTACGGGGAACACCTGAGGAATATTTCGCCGTAAAACTTTCATGAACATCGGCTCCCTGTACGACGAATAGTTTGATGGCAGCCGCCATGGGCTAACTGTCTCTTTTTTTTGGCCACCCTGTAGATATTTATGGTATTTTTCAAGTTATCTCAAGGGTCCACTAGATTATTGACGGGAAATATTGTTTCTGTTGCCTTGCTGTTGTTTGACATAGTTTTTTGAGCGGCTTTATAATTTGCAGAATCGGCAAAGCGGCCCATTTCCAAAGGGGAAGTTGATGTTGGTACCCAAAATCCTACTTTAACGTTTTTTCCTTTCAGGGCTTCCAGAAACATCCTTTCGTGCGAGTTTTCAAGAACTTTTTAGTTGAATTTCTAAT